TCAGATTTCACGTGTAACTCAAAATGACAAAATAATTTGATTCTTTGAAAGAAAATAAAGAATGTGACAGAGCGTGTCATTTCATAACATTACATAAGAACATTTTAGAAGAAATCAGGTTATATCAAAAATAGGGTTTGAAGTTAGTCAATAAACATGATGTAATTTCATCGTTGGTTTTAGTCACTTTTCTTAATGCCCACAAATATTCCTTCAGACACTGTCTACTTTATAAGCATAAGGAGTATGACTACTCAAAGAGTGGAGAAAGTTTTTTTTTTTTTGATAGTACCTTTTTGATTCATTTTTGGTTTTTAAATGTGTTTTCCTTACTGATGAAGTCTTTTCGCTTATTAAGAAAGAGTATTACTCAACAAACATAGAAGAGTTATTTTAATTTATTTATGAGTGAAAATGTTAGTTTCAGTATTCCTCAAACTTCATGTAATACACTAAAAGTTATGAACACTAAAGTATGTCCAAAACTAACATTTTTGAACCTAAATAAAATAAAAGCACTGTAATGTGGTTGTTAAGTCATACTCTTTCTATTGATACCAAATTCATTTACTAGAGAGACCCATTTATATGCAACGTTGCATCAGATGCAATTCTAAAATGAACTTTCCGAGAAAGTTTATATACTATGCGTTTGACTCTTTGTTGCTCATAAATATGTATTTGCAGTGAATGATTTTGGCATCAGAAGTAAGAGTATGATTCAACAAACATATAACTGCAATTTTAATTTGTTTTGGTATAAAAATGCTAGTTTAGGAGGACTTTTAGTATTTCTCAAACTTCATGTACTATGCTGGAAGTTATGAACACTAAAGTACTTCCAAAACCAACATTTTTGAACTTAAATAAAATAAAATTACTGCATAGTAATTGTTTAGTCATACTCTTTCTTTTGATACCAAATTCATTTACTAGAGAGACCCATTTATATGCAACGTTGCATCAGGTACAATTAAAAAATGACCTTTGCGAAGAAGTTTATAAAATGATACTGCATTTGATTCAACGTTGCACATAAATATGTCTGAAGTGATTGATTTTGGTGTTAAAAAGAAAGATTATGACTAAGGTTTCCTAAACATATGGTACTATGACTAACTTTGATAAAACAAACCAAATCTGAGAGAATTTTATGAAATGCATTGCTCCTAACAATATTCTGAAATGTATTTTCTCAATTTAATGACACATGTGAAAGCAGCTTAAGTAATGCTAGTTGAAAATAAAACTAAAATAACTACACTATCACTTCTGCTACTGGTTTGGTTTAATATTTTCTCCTAAATCCATATTGTCAATGAATATTTTGTTACATGTAGTCATTTGGGTAAAAATGTGTCTTTTTTAACCCTACCATTTTAAAAGGGATGCATATTGTAAAATGCTATTAGTAGCAGGTATGTGCCAAGTTTGGTGTCAATGAGTTACCACAGGCTTCTGCTATACAAACTACCGCTACTCATAAGTAAGGTATAGTTATTTAGTCTATCATATTTCTGTCATGGTATGGTTTTCTTAAAATATTGGGTATTGATTGATTTAATTTTCAGGTTATTTATGTTTCTTTTAGGACAATCAGCTTTAGGCTAAGACAAAAAGATTCATTTGCATACTTACTAATATGAAGATTATACGCAACCCCAAAGTTAGTGCAACGTAACCACTTGAATTAGACTGATTGGAAAATGTAATTTCCAACCAATCCCATAGTTACAATTGCTTGAATCTAAACATTTAAAACATCATAGTCCAAAAAAGGGATAAAACAATAGTTCAAAGTGGTCCTTAAGGTAGTATGTAGAACATATTACCAGAAATAAATGGTTAGTTGGCATTACGTTTGGATCCCTAAGTTTGCGTTGTAACCAAAATCTTTTTTCGTTACTTTGAAATTGTCGACACTTCTCAGAAGGCTGTTTGTCAGTTAAGAAATAATTTGAATTGCTAAGAAAGTTGTTAATAAATTAAGTTTAAAATGTTTATGTAAAATTGCAAATAAACTTAGGAGTTATCCATTACAACTGCTAACCTATTCTAACATCTTTATTATAAAAAATCAATTTCAAACTTTTTAAAATAAAACCATACATTGCGCCCGAAACGTACCCAAACCTAGAGATAACGAGTCAAAGTAACCAACCGACCAACTATTAGACGTGTTTTCCCTCATATTTGGGCGCGTTCACATCTAATCGGTCACCCCATCGAAATGTGGAAGAGTTTGTTATGATATTTAGATGGACAATTTCACTTGGTCGTCTTTACTCCGCAGTGGTAGTGACCGCGACCACGGTGGTCGCGACCGCCCACATTCCAGAATTTACACGACCTGCACTTTTAAGCGTGCAGTACCACTCCAGGAGCCTCCTTCAGCCTCCTTTTACCTCTCCAGTAGCCTTTAGCAGCCTCCAGCGCAGGACGTGCCGTGCGGAGCGGTGTGTAGCCCGCCGCGCTTTTTGGACATGATTGCCCTGCAGTAGGAGGCCTATGGCCTGTGGCGGCACTCCGCCGGCTCCACCCCGCCCCGCCCAGCCCAGCCGCTGGGCTGTAACAGTACCCATTTTGCGTGTGGCGCACTTCTGGCCGCGACTCCAGAAAACGCGCGGGGTCGGGAAACAACCGTTCGGCCGATAGTCGGTCGGGTGTCCGCAGAGCTGGGATCGCGCTAACCGGAGCGAGCGAGCGAGTGAGTGAGAGAAGAGAGAGAGAGAGTGCGTGTGTGAGAGGAAGAGTGAGAGAGGGGGGGGGGGAGAGGACGACGACGACGTAGGTTGGGGTGTTTAAAAAAAATTAAAAAAAATGACATGCTTGAATGGACTTTATTTGCAAGTTGCAAGTTCATGACTCGATCTGAATCTGTGGCAAATTTGAGACATCTCCGATGATGGGAACTATCCGCGCCTCTCCCGCCAAGTTTTTGTGTCCCATTTAACAAAGAAATGTCTTAAATGTCACACACAGTCGCAGTCAGGATGACTTTGTGTCAAATTTCAGATCGGAGAGAGACATTTATAACGCCCCCTTTAATTATTCATTATTATTTCACGCGGGCAGGTATGAAATTCCACACAAAGTAACCTTTATCACCTGAAAAGTGGCACTAATTTGGCGGTGAGGCGCGGATGGTTTCCCTCATCGGACAGGTCTCAAATTTGGCACAAATTCAGATCGAGGTCTGATTTTTCCAACACAGTCCATTCAAGCATATGTCATTTTTTTTAAACACGCTAACGTAGGTGAGAGTGCTAGAGAGAGAGAGTTAGCGCTTTGCTGGTTTCGCGCACTTGAAACTCCAACGCCTTGCGCGCGGGCTGCGCGGGGCTCAGGCGGCCCGATGGCTGTGCTGGATGCCTGAAGGATGCCTGGATGGATGGCTGGATACCAGGTTGCGGTCTCGCCCTGCGCCGCCGCCACGCTCCGCCACTCCTCGGTGACCTGACCACTTCAGAGACGGAACGGAGGGCCTAACCTCGCCCCCAAAGCGCAGGCCACGCTACATTTGTCCACGAGCGCTTGCTCGTACAGGATTGGAAAACCCTGGAAATTTTCAGGAAAATTTTCGGATTTTTTTCGCGGAAGCTTTTTTTTTTTTTTTTTGAAAAATGTTCGGAAAGTTTTCGGGAGTTTTCCGGAAAATGTTTCGGAATTTCCAAACCTATGGCTTGTTTGTGAGCGAGAAATGTTTCTGGCGAGTGATATGGCGTTTGATGAGCGCAGCGGCGGGCTCCGGCGGCTCCGGCACGATTGTTCTCGCTCTGCTCTCGGGCCGAGCGCAATCAGAGAGTCGTCCCGCTCTGGCCCGACCGGAGCGGCTCCAAGCACAGCCCTTGCTCTGCTCCAGAGTCGAGGCGAAATTACCCAACTTGTGAGCCGCGGAGAACGCGCCGTCGTCGTCAGTGCCGCCGCCGCTGCACCTGGCGACGGTTCAAACACTTGCAGTAGTGTGGCGGTCCCCCGCAGTTCCCAGTAGGTGCACGGATGTTCAGACACTCACGTGATAAACCATGTCAAATCTTATGGCGTGCAGATTGGTGTGCGACATCCGTGATTTTCGATAGTCACCACGACCATCGATATCACTGTGAAAAAAAGTAGGTAGGTTTACAGGAAAATTTTCCTTGACGCCAGTTGTAAAATTACAATTTGTCAATTTGTAATATAATGTAAAAATACATGCAGTACGTATCGACTTCAAATCCATTGGCGAGTAAAAAATTTGCTCTCGTAAATTTACGACTTAAATTATAATTCGAGTTTACAAAAAAATTGTAAATTTACGACGATATTTTTTACAGTGTATTCTTGTCAGGTGCAAGTAACAGTTTTATTTTTAGGGTTTGTAACTGATAAAAATTTTGACCTATAAGTATGTTTTGTGGATTTTTGGGGGTCTCTGGTTTTGCCAGTAACAAACCGCGTGTCTGCTGACTGAGCTCGCGTCGTTTGTTTGCCGTGTATTCTGGATCGTTTAAAAGGTGCCGGGATCGATAGGAGTAAAAGTTTTGTGGCCGCCCCGTCCCGCCCAGGGGTGTCCACTCGTGCGTGGTGCTGCGGGGCGTGGGCCGCCAACCGCCGGCCGCTACGCACTGCATGTGCAGGGACCGGGCGGGGCGAGGCGAGGCGCCCCGATGGGGTCCGAAGGCGCTTAGCTCCTCCCGAGGGGGCGATCGCAGGCGCGCGCATTGAATGCGTAATCCGACCCGACCCGGACACGCGGAGAGAGAGAGAGAGAGAGAGAGAGAGAGAGAGAGAGAGAGAGAAGGGGTGAGAAGCAGTTCGATACAATGGTTGGACCGTATTGCACGCGTCCCCACCACAGCTGCATTATGATGCTCTCCCTGGCATCGCGCTGCAACAGAATAGTGGCGGAGAGAGAGAGAGAGAGACAGAGAGAGCAGGTGGCGTCGGCGCTGCCGGTGTTCGAACCCACGATGTCCGCGTCGTGATGCGCGTCCGGCTCATGTCGCGGAGAGAAAGGATACGCTCGGTGGCGGCGGCGCGCCGGCTGTCTGCCCCCGGATGTTATCAATATATATGGGCATGTCTGTCTGGTGCACTGCCGCTCATATTTTTTTTTATTCAAGCGGGAAAAAAATACTTTAGCTGCTATTTTCAATTTTTCGATTTAGACGGTAATGCGTGAGGAGTAACAAAATCACACCCGTAACTGCACGATACGAAGCTTGCGGGAATTACAGTATTTATTCGCCTTTGCAATCTTCAGTCAGTGAACTCTCTCATTGACTGGGTTCCAATCGATAAAGGAGCACTCACAGATGCGCCTAAAGCCCACCTTGGCCAGCGTGGCGCGCGACGCCGCGTTGGGGACGTCGACGTTGCAGTGCGCGTCGAGCCCGTGGCGGGCGGCGAGGGCTCGGCAGGCGGCCCGCGTCACCAGCTCGGCCAGCCCGCGTCGTCGGAACGGCTCTGTGGTGAACAGCACAGTCAGCCCGCCGGTCCACGCTCCCCCCAGGATGAAGGAGACGGGATCACCTGGACGGGGCGATCAGGGTGTTGTAACAGCAGCTGCACCGGGCGTATCCAGATCAGAATCACGGCCACCTTGGTACAGCAGACGACGCTATTACCCTCGGGATCGTCCTCGGTGAACACGCCCCAGGACAGGCCCGAGTTCCTCTCGATGGTCTTGGCCAGCATCCTCTCGGACCCGGGGTTCGCGTAGCTCCACTTGTCGTTGACGGCCTTGGCGTGGTGCGGCTCGAGGGCGCGCAGCCTCAGACCGGGCCCGGGGTCTCTGCGGACCGAGAACAGGAGCACCCATTATTGCTGCCGCCCAGTCTGGGATAAAGATTCCATGAGAACAGTAGCAGACCACGAGTTGTTCACACGTGGATGGATGACTTAAACTGTCGACATTTGGCGACTTCTCGATCGCATTTCTGAAAAATATGCTTGCAAATTTACAACCCCAGTCCTGCGAAGAAAAGCAAAGGCGATGCCAGCTGTCATGAATACATAGTCATTTTAACAATTCGGATTTCGAAACTTTAAAACATCATAGACATTCCCCGACATTCCCTAAGACTGTCTCTAACGGAGATTAAGAGACCCACTTCCGCCTTCTCACCATGTCCCATACCACCAGGACCCTCGGTTATTTCAAAGACAAATCTTCCCTTAAGAAGTTTGCATATTTTTCGGCGTGATGGACACTGCTTTAGTGTGCCTTACCCCACTTGAAGTCGCAGGCCCTCGTCCTTGGGCAGCAGCATCTTGTCCGTGGGGCACACGAGCGGTGCCACCTGTCCGCGCGCGCGCGCCTCCGCCAGCACGGCCGGGGTGCAGCGCTCGTGCACGCTCTCGAAGAGGAAGGGCTCGCTCCAGGGGATGTGCTTGGAGGCGGCGAGCACGCGGTGCAGGGCGTCGCACGACGGGTCCGTGGTGTGCACGGCTACCCTGGGGGCCATACCCTCCTGTGGGGTACAGTAAGTTGTAATTTTCAGACAGTCCCCAAGACTGTCTCTACCAGAAGGAGACGTACCCCCCCCTCCCCTCGCTCTTTTTCCTTTAGAACAGGGCCTCGTTTTTTGGCAGTTGTTAGATGCTACTGATCTAATCTATTGTTTTCTCTCGTCAAGACGCCTTGCTAGTGGCAGTGTGCTCTTTTCCTGCTTATTATTAAATGGGACGTCGTCTGTTGCAGGTACCACTCGCATGATGCTGACGGCAGTCGTTGGGCCGGACGTGGCGTCGCCCTCGTCGGCACCCCGATAGAAGTCGACCTGCACGTCGCCCCCGAGGCCCTGACGGCGCCAGCGGAGGTGCGTTGAGATTCTGTTGAAAACCTAGAACGGTAGACAAACTTTGATCGTAAGGCACTTAGTAGGGTACTTATACTCTATTCATAAGAGGGAATAGGCAGATTTAGACAGGTTAGAATACGAAGTCTGCTATGTTCAGGATAACAGTGTTGTTTGAGAAACGTATGACACATCGCCATTGATGATCTGTCTGCGTCACCTAGTGGCCTTTCTTTTCCTGTCATTCTGCATCTACTCACATGCACAGAGTCGGGCAGATCCTTCCCGAGAGCTTCTAGAAGGCACTCGACGTGCCCGCTCTGCTCGAGCTTGCGAAGTGGGTCGCCGTCGTCGCCCCCGGTCATGGCTGGTGCTGCTTGGCCAGCGACTGACTACTGTCTAAAGTCGGCCCAAGTAGCCCGCTATGTAGGCGGGCACCCTCCGCTTCCCCCTCCCCAATATCAGCACCCTCGCCCCCCCACTCTTTCCACCACCACAACGTTCGTCTTAATTTGGGCCTTAAAACAGTCCCCAAGGCTGTCTGCACCGCGCGCTTTTCGTGTCAGCAGTCCTTGCCATATATAGATAACGACTGTGCCCGTATGACACCTTTACTGTACTACGACTGTTTAGTTTGTCTCGATACGATGATGAGGAATCGTACAGTAGTAGATTGTGCTGCTCGTGTCCTTTGGTTGCGGTTCACCATCACACCACCGCGGACATCATCACCACCACCACCATCACCATCACAAGCGCGTGCGGGCGGGCAGGGCGGGCCATAGCATCTGCGGCCAACGACATCCTCCCCCTCCCCCAACCCCCCATCGCGCTCTGACCCAATAACGACCAATTACGCGTTAAAACAGGCGCGGGCAATTAACAAACGGGCAGCAGCAGCGCTCTCATTGTGAGAGAGTGAGCGGTCAGACTGTTTGGCGCGCTCATCTCTCATATCGCCCACTCATTATGTGTGTTTATGTCGCTTATCGGCTCGGCAATACGCGGTGCCCTGACCGTGTGTGTGTGTGTGTGTGAGAGAGAGAGAAAGAGAGAGAGAGAGAGGGGGGGGGGG